AAGTGGTGGCACATTAGTTTCAATGGCGGAGACAGGCGTGATTACAGTTTTTCAATATTTACAGTCTATGGTCAGGACTAAAGCTGACTTCAGCACAGCATCAACAATATCATTCTATAACATCATAAAATCTCTAGATGTTAAGCTACAGGCAGAAGAATAAGCCTGTTACACATGCGAGGCAGATGGGAGAAATGGGAGAAAGTGCAGTGTCTAAGAACCCCGTTTGACTGAACCTGCTACTTTGACAAATTGGCCAATACAATACAGTAGAAGCCATGTTATTGCAATAATCAATACACTTGAAGTAAGTGTTGCAGTTTTCACTCCCCATATCCTTTTTTGAAGCACTGTATTTCGGATCTAGACAGGAGTGTAGACTGACAAATAATGCATGTGGCCAAAACAAGATTCTTTGTGGAGTTTGGTGCAGAGCGCTGAGGAAGGCTGCTGCGGAGGTGGTCGTGTTCACAGTCATTCTGTTCACTGCGCTCTCTCTCACAGCCTGAAGGGGGGACCCACAGAGCCTCCTCAGAAAGATGGCTGGAATCGCAACAGATGCTGGTTACCGGGCAGATTCTAGGGGCAGACAATGTTATGGTCTTGTTTGTGTTTTTTTTTTTTTTTCATCTTTGTGCATGGATTAGATAATAACTCGTATCTCTCTTTCTATTGAAACACATCCACCGCCAAATGAGACTAATTGAAAACGTAGTGGATAAGGTTAAGGTACACTCTCACTTTAGTCTGTTACATATTGAAACAGATTGGTTCACCTAGTTTATTTGTGTACATCTATTGTACACAAAAGGGAACATTGCGTAAAATTAAAGTATTCCTTTCATTCTGTCATACCAGAGTTGAATGTGATTGTTTACAAATGACATCACAGCACCCATTCAAAGAAAAGCTCACAGAGAAGATGTGTAAAGATAGTATTATGAAATGTATACAGTAGTAAAAATCCTGCATAATGAAACATTGCCTCAACCTTTCGGTGAGTAACACATTATGTGAGTCACAAACTTCATTCTTCTTGGTTTCCACTCACCCAAGGTGGATGAAAGCATTTTCCTAGTTTTTCTTTTAGTTTTTTTTATCATATTTAGTTTTATATGATGTATGTTTGCTTAACTAATTTTGCTCTTAAATAACGGATTTTTATTATGGTTATTATTATGGTTATTATAGTTTTTATTATAATTATGGATTTGATTGGGAGAGAATCATAATAACATATGTAATTACAATGTAAATACAGCTATATGATGCAAATTACATGATACAGAAAAAAAAAAAACTATGTCAACACAGCATCATACCTTCACTTTCATATCACTTATAATTGGCAAAACACTAAATTAAACATGAACTGTGCAAAGCTTTATTGACAGCCAGCTTCCACTACTGTCTTCACCTCAAGCAGATCCCACGCTCGTTTCCTCCCTTATAGAACCCTCTCTCCTTCCTCCCTTTTCCCTGCTCTTATAATGATACTGGCCACTAACATCACCTGCATTGTCTTGGCAAGAGAAGTCTTATTAGTATGTGCATAAAACATAAGATAGTGCTGCACAGTACAAATGTATGCGCCCTCTCGATCCAAGGTAGTGTGATTATATGCGTATCTTCCAGGCCTTTGACGCATTATTAGATGTATGGTATTAAAATTGCCGAGAAGCTGTTTTTTATCACCCGCCTTCACCTTCAGGGACTGCGGCTGTAGTGTACTGTACCAGGGGTTAAGGAGAGATACGTGTGCTTCTACTGTATGAGAAAAAACAACGTGAAAATGCATTTACTTTCAAAACAGGGAAGAGTCAGTGCTAAACATTGTTATTGTGATTCCCAAACAACATGGTAAAATACATCAGACACAGTGTATGGTTAAAAGGAACAAAAGAGTGAATTGAAGATTGTTTAAATTGCTATTTTGTCACCTCATATTTGTCTTATTTGGTCCAAGCCCCAACAGGTTGTAGAGCATATTGTTTCCCCTTTGTGTAATACCGGGTTCTCTTGTTTTTCTTGATATATTTATGCAACAGTATGACTAATGATCTGTTGTATAACTTTCTTGTTGGAGCAATTAGTTCAGTAACAAGAGTAACATAAGAAAATGCAAACAAATATTTGGCTTTCACTTAGTATAAAACATAGATCTTGTTGGAAGTCCGATCATAAACGTATGGTGGGACATCGGTCATGTGCCCCCTATGGACCAATGGCTCCTTGGATTGCATTTTAATTTTCCCATCTGTGTTGGTGAAACAAGAACTTTGTTGAGGTCTCAGAAACAACTAATGGTGTGATTTAGGGCATTACAAAAAAAAAATTGAATATACTTGAATTGTTTCCACAGGGCCACTCTAGTTTTATTTTTTGCCTTTTGTCATTTGCCTGTTATTATGTCAATCCCCTACTATCGTTTACATCTTCTCAGCACATTTGCAGCATTTTCTATTTCCACCAAAATCCCAAAGAACTGGCCTCAGCTTCTAACCGGCAACATAAACAGACTTGGTGATCCACTGAAGATAGATCACGTTTTTTTGGGAACAAATCTTTACGGGGAACCTGAGTTCATCAAAGTGAAAGAAGAAGTATTTCATGTAATTGGTGGACTATAAGCTTTGTTTGTTGTTCTTTGATCTCTGCGGCTTGTATAGCAATAGGCCCGATGAATGTGTTTGTATTTAGACCCCAATCCTGCTTCAGTGTGTTTATGTGAGCAGAGGAGAGACAAGAGGATGTACAGGGACATCCACAGGACTTGTTTCTTATCTGATTAGGGCTATTGTCAGAACAGAGTTGATGGACTAATTATTTTGATGTTATTGTCAAATTAGACCGGTTTGGACTGGAGTGCTTTGGTCATTGTATCATATTGTGACCAATTAAATAGGTACGCTTCAATATGCTCCAGCAGCTGTTGGTTAAGCCTTACATCACAACATGCACAAATGCAGCTCATATTCAAGAGTGGCCTAAATGTGGGCCGAATTTACTTTTTCTTCAAATTTAGCTGCAGTTTATGTCCATGTGTGCCTACTAGCCCAGCAGGCACTGCACATGTACTTGATCTCATCCATCTCTTTGTAATGTCTCAATGTTTGGCTATAGTAAGCGATTCAGAAGAAGACAGCACAGAGTTTTGTACTTAAATCCCAATCCAGGAAGGGAAAAAAAAAAACATTATCAGAAAAAATGTAATACGTCAACTTCAGTATTCTATTGGATAACCTGTTTACCGAAATGTGATTTGAAATAGGCCTAAACGTTAGTAGAGAGCACTACAAAAATCAATAAGAAAAAGGTGTATGGCCAATCTGGGAATTATTTTTCGAAAGCCAGGTTGCTGATAAGAAATATTCACTATAAATCCTGGTACTTTATACCGAAAAAGTTAAATTACATGTGAGGAGTAAGTCAAAGTAGATTCTCTCTGCCTTGTCAAAGTCAATGCATCTCCAGACTCTCCAGAACGATACCCAAAAGTACTTGAACACAACCTTTTACTCCGCGGTCTCATAACTCATACACATTCATATATTATATTAGTACAGTGCTGTATCCCCTCGTGTTGTGTTCCGCCATCTGCAGTGAAGTGTATCGTTGTCAGGGGCGACATAAGAACGGCGTTGGGACATTGTTCATTCTGTTACAGGCCACAGCTCCAAAATGTGATTCTGTCCATTTGTCTGCTGTGAGCTCCGCCCTTTAGCCCCAGTGTTGTTGTGATTTCCCCATTCCGTAACCTTCAGATATGCACCCATCCATTAGGTGCTCTCCGGGCCCTTGTCTGACCTGCCAAAAGGGCATCCGGGGTGATGGAATATGTGCCGCCTAAATGTTTTTACAATAGAAAAATACAATGTAGGTTTTCACATTGGATCATGCTTGATATTGAAGATGTACTGCTAGCGATTTTCGAGCAGGGTTCAAAAATGTCTTGTTCCAATTTCCCCTAAATGTTTTTCAAAGTGATATGAAATAAGCAACTTTATTGTGACAAATGTATGACTAGAGTAAATAAAGATGTATTAATTTGTTTTTTTATTATTTATTTTACCTTCTGTCAAAGTTCGAATATTGCATTGAATTACAAGAGACAAGACTTTTCCCCGCCTCTTGGTAATTTTGAATAACACAAATTAAGCGATACAAATAAATACATTCTGAATTTTCATTTATTTTATGTTGCAAGTCACACAAACAGTTGAACTAAAGTAAAAATAAAGTGATTCAGAAAGGACCACCATCTCTCGGCCAATCATCTCTCAGCCTAAAGCACCAAATAGTGACAATATCCATCCATCCATCCACTTTCTTCTGCTTCATCCGTTGCCGGGTCGCGGGGGCAGCAGTCTAGGCAGAGACGCCCAGACTTCCCTATCCACTCACACTTCCTCCAGCTCGTCCGGGGGGACCCCAAGGCGTTCCCAGGCCAGCTGAGAGACATAGTCCCTCCATCGTGTCCTGGGTCTTCCCTGGGGTCTCTTCCCGGTGGGACGTGCCCGGAGGTGGTGACAATATATTTTCTAATAATATAAAAACAGCAAGTTGTGGTTTGCTTTGTTCAAAACCTTTGACTTTTACACCATTCTTGGAACACACTTCTTAAAGTAAAAAAGTTTGGTACCCCAGAGTTTTAACTGAATCTTGCAAAATTGTACATTATCTTATACAACAAAACAATGCATAACAAATTTACACAACCTAAATTAAGAACTACTTTAAAAGCAATTTTTGAAGTACAGAGAGTGATATCCTCAGCAGATGGTACGTAAAGGGAGCTGTAGGGTCGGAGTTTGTTTGGGCCTGTGTCTTGACTCTGTCTGTGAATGTTTGTGAATGTGTGTGTGTGTTGTGACATGTAGGGGTTGGAACCAGTTTTCTAACTTTGTAGAAGTCTATACTGTATGTGTATATCCTGTTATTTTGTTTTTGTCTTTTGGCGTCCAAGTTTTACACACACAATTACTTCATACACACACAATTCAAAGAGACACAAACCCACTGGTTGAAATCGAGTCATTATCACGAGACGTCCCTCCATCGCGGCCCATCCTTCCGCCATATCGTCCTAATGGGGGGGACAGCTGGCAGCGTGGTTTCCTGTCTGCGCACATTTTCTCCCACATCAATAACAAGCCCAGGCGCCGCGGCTCAGCGCACCCACCACACGTTCCTCCGTGTCCCCTGCCGCCGCTGTAGCGCTCCACACAATCCGTCTCTATTCGTCCCTCTTTTGTCCCTTTACTAGCGTCATTACCATTTACAGTACACGCCAGCCGCTGCATATCAATCTCTGATACACGGCCATGATTTACACGCATGTGATTTTTTTCGGTTGCTTTTATTTCCCAGGCTTTTATATGTTCAATGAAGTGTGAGACGTGGACAAGCTGGATCGCAAATATTATGGACTTTGAATGCATGTGTGATAATGCTATTACTATGAAAAGCTAAAGCTAAATCCATCTATGTTGCACCTGGAACGATTTTTAATAATAATATCAATTAATTTACAACATGGGAAGAGGATAGCAGGGCAACTATGGTATGTTATACAATATTTTGAAATCTCTATTTTTCTCTCTAAAACGACAACAGAACTTAATGCATTCTAATACGTGGACCGAAAGTGCATGTAGTAATAGTCACAAAACATATGTATGCATGTATAAATTATAAAAGTTAATTGTCTTCAGGAATGGTTAATTTCCTTTTGGTTCAACTAAAATCAACAACCAGAAAATATCCATATCCACATTAGAATGCTAAAAAATAAACAATTTAGCGACTCAAAGACACTTAAATAAGAGAAAGTTTGGTAAACATATCTACATAGTTTATTAAAAAATAATGTATAGTGTGTGAAATAAATATCTGGTATTTGATAACTGTAGTATTATTGTTTTGAGATAGAAAAGAAGAGCTTGAAAGAAAACTAGGAAAACTACTTTCGGCCCCCTACCAGCTCCAATTTTCAATTTGTCCCTCCGACGAGTTTGACACATCTGCTGAAAAATCAAGAACAGACAGTAATGTGTTTTTCATGAAATGCATTATTCTCATGACCATTGTGGACAAAATTACAAATTAACCGAATTTAGACTGTCCCAAAACCCCATGTTTTTCCATTTAGTAAAGCACAATTTGTTTTGTCCCCGTGCAGACATTTGTTAAAACCACCCGCAAGGTTGTAATGAGCTCGTTTACAGTGATTTTGTAATTATAGAGCGTTTTATTGTATCTGGTGGTGGAAAATACAGATATGAGAAATGAGTGAGAATGTGAGGCTCAGGCTGCTGCTGGAAACTATTTATAATGAACTATGAATAACGTCATTTAAGTTCTTAACCACATTTTAAGTGCTTCGCATGTAACAGGTGCAAGCATATAAGTAAAAGAATGAACTCAGATGTTATTGTACACAGACCTCTCTGTAAATACACTGTAAAAAGTCCATAGTAGCAGTAGTTAGTTCTACAGCGTGTGTGCGTGTTGCTACAGTAACCACTTCCCACGGTAATGGTTTGCCTTTCAGCTGCTTGTCAAAGTTGTCAGTAAGTTTTTTTTTAATCAAGCTAAAGATTAGTTTTACTCATCTATTTGATATGCATACAAAAGTTACATTGGACTGACTGGACGTGGGTTACATTTTTTAGATTATTCTATTTGATCTGTTTTTCAAGTAAAGAGTTGCGCTTTATATTCACTTTTCTTGAGTTACAACTGCTCTGTAACTTCTGATGCAACTCTGAAATGTCCCCACTGTGGGACAAATATAGGACATCTTAATCTTAATTATCTAAAACAGGCATGTCAAACCAAGGCCCGTGGGCCAAATCCGGCCTATTTTTAGTGGCCCCTGAAAGCTTTTTCAATCATTATTACAGTAACTTGCAGGACTAATTAATGTTTGTGGCGTGTTTATAGTTCTGTACTGTGTTCTAGAATTCTGGACTTTGATAATAAGGTAGGCCTTCATAATCTTTGGGAAATACCAAATGGACTAGCCTTTTTTGCTTTCATAAATGACTTTTTTTTTCCAGAACTCTAAATAAACCATGCATGTATACGGTTTACTAGTCTTTACCCATCTCTTAAATGAACGCTTTGGTTTAATCATCTCAGCACTTCCCACTGTTAATTCTACTTAAACCAGCCCAACTCTACATTGTAAATTCACAAGTGTTTCACATTGCTGTCTCATTGCAAGTATCCTCTTGTCTCTGCAGTATTTAATGCCACTTCCTGCTTTAATTGTTCACTCTTGGCCCAGTGTTTTCTCTCCAGACGACACTTTGGAACTTTGTTGTGAAAAGCCCTTTATTCAAATTAGCCTCATTATAGTTACAGCAACACTCCCATAGCAATGCCATTAGCTTTTCGTCAGCGCTGAATAATAAATTGCTCAATAGCTTGAAAAATCAAATGGAAAATAAAAAATAAATAAAATACAGGAAGATGAAATTCGATATATTTCCCTGTTGAGTAGAAGTATCCTATATACGTTGCTTCAAGGTTCATATTTAATTGGACCCCTGCTTTGCCACTGGACCTCCCTCCTACAGATTCCAACATCTACCCGACAGGATTCTGCTGATTACGGCTGAGATCTTATTTGCTGCAGGCGACTTATGCATTTTGTACAATTATCACTAAAGTGCAATGTGACACGTGTGTAAAAGATTTACCGTGTGCCCAGGAATATCTGTATCAAAGATGAAAAGCCATCTGCCTCATTACCTGTGATGAGGATGAGGTTCAAATCCAGGTCTGGGGGAAGTGAAATGGAGAAATCAAATAGAAAGGTTTTACTGCAATAGAAAATCAGATCCCTCTATGGGCCTCCCCGAAGGTTTCTCACTTTTTCCCCACTCATTTTTTTAGTTTTTCCTTGCCGATGCGGGAGGGTCTAAGGACAGTGATGATCTGGGGGACATTTAAGGATACTATTAACATTCATGGACAGTGGTCATCTGCCTTCTATGGACCAATGGCTTCTACAGTATGTGTTTGTAAGTCAGTCCACAGACCGTATATTTAGGAGTGGACTAACCGAGTGCTGCATCACCCATAATCTTTGCTGAATGCAGAAGGAGGGAATTAAAACATCAGCCAGCTTGAGTCAATTCCCTTACATGGGCATAGTTTTTATTTTTTTTAAACAGGACAGTGCACTAAAAAGTTAGCAAAACTAATCTAATATTTGTTGGTAGTCCCATTGATATAATCCAACAGGGTTAGCTTTACACCTTAACACGCGGGCAGATGTGTGTCTATCATTGTGGGTATGGCAAGCTCTAGTTAAGGCATTAGATTGATAGATAGATTGATTAGAATGATACTTTAAAGATCCATGTAGGAGAAATTCAGGTGCCCAGTAGCAACAGAAACATATCCATCCATACAAACAAAACAAATATATAGATCGTTCTAAAATTAGCTAGCAATAGTATTACAATTCAAGTGTAGCCGTTGGATGGAGCAGGACAGGTCACAGCAGTGGAGGTGGAGAAGCTGCTTGGTTTGGATCATTTTCTCTGCTCTGGACCAAGCAGACCAGATGCTAAATGCTTGCCTTGTATCCAGTGGGGGCGGGTGCCGCCTCAAAAGAAGCCTAAATGACGTGCACTGACCGCCGATGGGGGTAAACCCGGAAAAAGAATTAGCCAGTGCAAACATATAGCATCTTCTTACCTCTTCTTACCTCCCGTCTTGACAGGATGGTCCAAAAGTTGGCTCATGGCCCAAAGCTCCGAATTTTTTTGGACTAGTCTAGTTTAGTCGCTGTGAATTTTTGAAGGCACTCGTTAAATGAATAGGGCTCGTGCCGGATGACGCATGCGCAGATGCGTTTTTTCACATTTTCCAGCCCCCGCGGCCATTTTGAAACTGCCCAAAGACAGCGGAAGTTGTGGCACATTAGCTAGAACGGCAGAGATAAGCGTGACTACGTCTGTTAATATTTACAGTCTATGCTTGTATCTGGATTATATCAACATATAAACACCAGAATCAAAGACGGAGCTAATCCACAGTTTTGTTAAAGCTCAAAAAGGTGATTGTAACACAAACAAATAAGAAGTTACACCCTGGCATACCCCTTTGGATTTGTGAGCGCCTGGTTGGGAAACACATCTTCAAAGTTCCATACACGCCATTTAAAATCCAGCTCGCAAACATCCGCAATCTTTACGAACTCGGCATTGAAGCACTGATTAGAATCCCCACACAGAAGAAAACATTTACATGACATGTCTCTTCAGCAGTGTTAGTGTAATAACGACAGCTTCTCTGCAGTGCCAGATTGTGTGATTTCCAACTGAATTTCACAGCCCCAAATGAGCAGAATCATCTCGCTTTGACACCGTTTGCAAGCTCTCCTCACAGTTCTGCGAGTATTACTCAGACAGACAACATGAGCCTGGTGATTTTTTTCCAAAGCCCTGCTGTTTCAGAGACTGTGCCATTATAAGTAGATTAATTAAAATATAAAAATGGGAGCAATGAGAATTTGATATTTAAATTATGTAAACGGGAGATGTTTGGGTATATGCCAGTATTAGGGATGGAAAAAGTTACCAATGAAGTTTCCTCAATAGCTGTATCATTATTTAAAGCTGCGGTACCTAACTTTTGAGTTAGCCCCAACGAGAATAAATAAAAGTCAAATAAAATGTTAGAAACAAATCAGAATGAAGCCTGTATTCGTCCCACAGTGGGGGAATTACATATAACTGTCATTACAGGAAATGAAACCTCAATCCATTGAATGTCAGAATGGCAAAATATACAAATCAATATACTTTTTTTTACTTTATTTGTCAGATATATATATTGATTTTGCAGGCTGCATGGTTTTTTTCAAAGTAAACATTTCTCACTGCAAAACAGCCATCATGCATTGCTTCAGTTGAACAACAAATATACATTGCAGCCCCTGAAAACATGAGAAAACAGCGGATGTTGGATACAAAAGGCAGTACGCTGTCCACCCACCTGCAGTTATGCTATTGTGGATGATATTTGATGAGACAGCTTTTGTCTTAGAGCTTCCACTTCACACACACAGCGGTCTTTTTTCTCAATCGCGTCTTTGTTTTGCCGTCGTCTACGATGTATTAACAGTGTCTTGTCCTTTCTTTAGTGCAACCGCTGCAAGAAGTGATCAGATGTTAGATCATAGCACTGTATAGATGTGTCAGCCCACTGCTATGGACCCCTGTGGTTTTCATGCAGAGGTGGACAAGGCAGAATGTAAGCCTGTGGTAGGAGGGAGGGGCTGTCA